TAATGAAAGTAATGAATATGTTAGAAGAAATTATTTTGCTGGAATATGAAAGAAAATTAAAGACACACCTGGACATCTGTGCACAATTTTAGTCACTTATTCAAGTGTGATATAGCAACCACAGAGAAACTAAGGCTATACAATGCTATAGGAACCTCTTTAAAGACAGACTGTATCATGCTATCCTAGGAAAGAGAGATAGACAGACATTAAGAGGCAACCTCACAGTTTTTAAAGAAATAATAACTCGCAAGCAATATGAGAAGTGATCAAACACAATATAAAAAAACTCCAGTGAAAAAATTATTTTTTTGTTGTTATTTTATTTTACAAAAATTAATGTCAGAAATACATTTCTCAGAGCAATTTCATGGATAGGAAACCACCATGATTTAAAGTATAAAACATGTTTAGCTAAACTAGAATAACGAGGGCCCAAGGCATGAGCTCCATCTATTTTGGCCAGTGACAGAGGGAGCAATTAAAAATTCACTTTTGCATACAACTTCTTTATTCTTATCACTCTGCTTCTTAATGCAAAACAGTAGGTCAAGAAACTCTTGGAATAATCCAGGAAGAATCAATAATCTCTTGGTTCCCTACTTTCCCTAAACTTGAATGAGAATTTTCATTTCATGAACTACAACTTGATGATTAATTTGATGTGTATTAAATTGAATTTGAGAAGAATGAATTCACCTGAGGATGTAACTTATTGAAAGACATCTAACTGCTTTTAACCACCCTCCCTACCCCCTCTACCCATCACTTGTATTTCTGGCATGGAGTTCAACCTGTCTTTCAGTCTTACTTGCTTTAACCATTCCAATTAATTTAGTTCATTTATTCTTTCTAAGAAATATTCATTCTCTTGAATTTTTTACCTTTAATCTCTCCCAACCCACTTGGTCACTTTTCAATGCAGAATTATAACTATTAAAAGTTTGACTGCTTTGTCAATGAAATAATTCAACAAGAATTTGTTGGTAATTTGCTATTTATTTATTCACTCACCCATTCATTCAGCATCTACTTTGTATCAGGTACTGTGCTCAGCACTTAGAATGGAAAGATGAAGAAGCCAACGTCTTAGCCCTATGTGGGGCTCTATGGCTACTAGTGTGAGAGGCACCTTTGGAAGTGGGGTGAGAAACACCAAACAAGAAACTTCAGTCTTGTAGGGGAATGATGAGAGACTAGGAGAAAACATAAACATAGCTACAGGACTGGCTACATGATTTGTGGGGACCAGACCAAAATGAAAGGTTAGAGCCCCTTGTTCAGAAATTGTTAAAAATTTCAAGACAGCGAGAGATGAACATTAATCTAAGCAAGCGTCCCTTTTGAGTGTAGGGCTCTGTGAAACTGCATAGATCACACACCCATGAAGCTAGCCCTGTGTAACTATTAAACTATGTATTAATCTACAAAAACAAAAGGATTTTAGTAAAAGCATTGCCACTAAGTAATCTAAAACTATGTTTTCTCATCTTTAAAATTAGAATATTCTAGCCTACATCAGAGGGTTTGCCAGATTTTTAAACAGATATGTTTTATTATTTATCCCATGAGCCTTATGTTTTGAAATATTATTTATTGTGTTAAAATAATCATTAATTAATATTTCTGTCTGAAGTCCAGCCAAAGCTTCCAATTATCATGAGGTAGCTGGTGTTATCAAACTAAGCAATTTAATTACCACCAACAGAAAAGAGACTTTCCATTGTAGCCAGTTATGAAATATCTGTTTTATGTAGTTTTGTTTTCTTTTTTTCAAATAGTTGAAAATCACCAAAGGCTACTGGTTACTACCTGGATGGAAACTACTTTGGAAACTTTTGATTATATTTTCCAAATCCTCTCCAAGCTTTAATTGTTAGTGATTCTCATTAGCAAGAGAGGAAAGTCTGAGAATTTTCTGCCTTTTACCTTAGAAGGATGCTAATACTACTGCCTACCCAAATACAGAGGGAGAATCAAGCTCAATGTAAACCTTGAAAGTATTTCTAATACTGTTAATTGATTTGAGAGTTAAAGCAGCATTAATCTGCTCTGTATTCTGATCTCTATCCTTGTGAATTATGTATGTTCTAAATTGATACCGATGTCTGTATTTCTAGCATCTGGCTACTTCCGAAAGTTTCCAAGCTTTAAAATGCACAAGTATCTTTTGGAAGATAGAGTTTGCATAGTTTTTCTTTTCCACCATGGGTCTAAT